AATGATTCTATGATTCTATGATTAAAAGACTCTTTCCATTAGAAAGAGACATCATTCAGTCAGAAATGTGATCAAAGGGCTCAATCAAATAGGAGCAAGGCTCGAGAAGATTTCAGAAGATACAGGGCTAAGGCTCGGAGGCCCTGCAAAGCTTGACTTCTTTCATTGTACCTCTGCATCCTCTGACATAATCTGCCAGCCAAAAAAACCTAATCTCTACATCAATCTGACAGACTGGCACAGCAGAATTGGCAGTGAAATCTGCTTGGCAGCAAGACTTCTCGTGGAGAACGGCAGGGCCTGTGTTTGTTACTCAGTTGGGTCCTTCATGGTTTATTTCTTTATTTACATTGATGGGAAATATATGAACATGGCATTTTGAATTAACACATAGCCATTTTCTACAGATTAGAACTGAGGGACTGGTGGGTACTTTTCATGCTGTGTTAGTGAGAGGGATAAATAGGGCCATGCACAACTTACAGCAGTGCCCCAGCAGGATGGAACCTTAAACAAGATGAAGACAACACTTACAGGAGGAAAACGTCAAGAAAATAGCACCATGACCAGAGAAGTTGTTTTGTAACACAAATATCAAAATTTATCTGTATCCAATTACAGTTGAGACAGTTATATTAACTGGCTATTGTTGTTGTTGTTAGGATTTTAATTTGCCTTGTAATCTGCATCTACTATATTAGTTATTAGATGAATAGGCATTTATTGTATTATGCATTAGAGAACAATCTAGTTTTAACTAGCATGGGCGTGCTGTTGTTTTCTAGATGGTCTATTATTATGGTTTCGGCTGGTTGAAGATCTGTTGTTGGGCTTTTATTGGAAAATGCCATTCTCTAACAAAAAGGAAATGAAATATTGGCATGAGGATTAATTATGACTACTAAGTGCTAAATTGATAAAGGAAGACTTTCAGAAGCTATTTCAGCTGTAGAGATCAGGTGATGTCTCATCAAATACCACAGCCTTTAGAAGTGATATGGCATAACCACTTTTAAAATCCCATACTTATTAAAATTTGCTTTTTTGCACTGTATTGGGCTCATTTCAGAAGTACAGTAGCACACGCTACATTAGAACTATTGTCACTTTTAAAACAATCTGTCCTTTTCAATTGTTTACATCCTACACTGACACCCCCTTTTTTTTTTACATTCTATCGGTTTGCACAACTTCTTCAGAGCATATGTAAAGTAGTATACTGCTGTGTCTGGACCTCAAATTAGTACAATCAACTGCATCTCTGAAGAGATCTAATTCTGACAGAACCAATCAGAATTTTTCTCCATTCGAAAAAATCAATGATTATGAAAAATCATAGTTTTGCCAGGATTATGACTCTATTTTTGTGTGCCGTATAACTCTTTAGCTGAATTATACCACCAAACTCACTGAGAAAGCACCAGATCAGAAACTTAGGTATTCCCAAACAGTTCTAAATCAGTGCACAGATACTGTTTTGTAGTACCTTTTTTATGAAATGCAATATATTGATTTTTTATTTTTTTTTTTTTTAATTTCTAGATGGCTACCCTAAAGAGGAAATGATTTACAGATGGAGGAAAAACTCAGTGGAGGCTGCTGACCAGAAGTCTTGGAGACTCTATCAGTTTGACTTTATGGGTCTCAGAAATACTTCAGAAATTGTGAAAACCTCTGCAGGTAAAAATGATAAAAATGGTAGTGCTTGTTTTGGAAAAAAAATTATTTCAAAATATTTGTTCCAAGTTTGCTTTCATTTGAGTGCAATTTGATTTCAATATGTACCAATGTTCATATTAAAACCCCTAAAGTGCAGCCTTCAAAACTATTGACTTTGTCTAGATTTTTGATAATTTCTTCTCTACTTTTTTTGTAACTTCACAAATTGAGGAATATATGTTAACTTGACATGGCTGTTTGTTATATACTTGAAGTTACTATATGATTCTCATTTCTCAGCTCAGTTTATTAAGCCACTCCTGCATTGAGACATATGTTTTTACTATAAATTAAAGAGAAAGATTTTGAGCACAATGGTAGAATTAGTGAAATTAGACACTTTCAATAGTAGTTAATCATTCAGTCACATATTTAGTATTTTTCTTAATATTTCAAAGGCACTCTTTATTTCTCAGCTGATAAATGACTTTGCTAGTGACCTTACCAATTGATTGTAATTAAAATCTAATTATGTCTATTTTATTTCTTCAGAAATCTTGCTGTTTATTATAATAACAGCAACATAGGGAAAAAAGATGTGTAAATAGAATACATTCTTTGAACTGGATAAATTCTCATAAATTTCAAACAATGTCTAAACTTTATACATGACTCTGCAGTAAGCTCTGTGATTACCATTTGGTAAGTCTTCTCCCAGATGCAGAAGGAATCTGCTAGAAGCCACCTTCTGCTTAACTGGTGATGGATTTTTGAAAAATCCGATTTTTTTTTTTCAAAGTGTAAACAGAACTATGTTACTCTTTTGGAAACACTGTGAATAATAGTAATAATAAAAAATTATTAATCTGTGAAACTACTGCTGCTGGTTCATGACCACTAACATCATTAATGTTTTCTCAGGACTGGATAGCAATTTTTGTAATGAAGAATCACTAAAGCTTTAGTGAATATTTTGGGCTGGTAGTTTAGCAGAGCAAAACGTTGCAAACAGCGCACATGTAAAAGTTCTCTTCTGGTATATCTGTGAAGCTACTGCTGCTGGTTCATGACCCACCCACTAACATCATTAATGTTTTCTCAGGACTGGATAGCAATTTTTGTAATGAAGAATCACTAAAGCTTTAGTGAATATTTTGGGCTGGTAGTTTAGCAGAGCAAAACGTTGCAAACAGCGCACATGTAAAAGTTCTCTTCTGGTATGGATACAAATCCTTGTAGTATGTAAGTTTCTCAGGAATGCAAATTACTCAGGTGAGTCAGCCATAAGTTGAACCAGAGTTGGTGGATAACTGTCAAGTACCAAACACCAAATCTTTAAAGTATCTGTGTATGCAGGCATAGAGCTCATTGGAAGGGATGGTATGAATAGGAGAGAAAGCCCTAGAGTGATGGCATCCTGAGTTTGCATCAAGAACTGCTAAATACGCATGCAAGAACAATTACCGAGTCAGCCATATTAAGATGTTGACAGTGTCTTGACAAACAGATCTATTAAACTCTTCCTTTACACAGGAAAAAGCCATTTTTATAGAGGTCTCATTCAAGTGAGTAAATGGTTAATGTGGAGCAACGAAAAATATATTTCCTATGCTCTTTTTAGTATGTGCCCAGTTCTTACTAAGATGAGTGAGCTGACGGTATGTTTTTCCTATTATTGCTATTACTGCTTCTGCCCACCCAGGTTTATGAGTGCAAAACCCAATAGCAGTGTTGAACTGAACCTACTGGAGCCACCATGACATTCTTATTCTCCCAAAGGCATCGCAGTAGCAGAAAGTTGTTGGCAAACTGGAGTTTATTCAAACACTAAAAAAACCCCAAACCCCAAAACAACCCTATCAGGAGGTTGTGGAAACTAACTTGGAAGAAACAATGTAAAATGTATGGGTCAGATGGTCAGCTGTGTTTTTAGGTAGAAAAACAAGTTGTGGATATGGCCCATATATTCTGGCCAGCAGATGGCTGAGAAGGGGTTCTCATTCAACAAATACATGAAAGATGTGAAAAATAAAACCCTGAGTTTGCACGTGGACCTGAATTTGTATAGAATAAACTCTCTGGCTGTATTTACACTATAGTTTAAGGTATTTTCAAGGCCAGATCTACTGAACATCAACAGTATTTACTGTCAGAAGCAAATCCAGGGCCAGGACTTGGGAAAACTAACTGGTACATTGGAAAAACTTGAGTATGCCCTATGCTATAGAGCAAGGATTCCCAAAAGGGAGGGAGGGAGGCAGGACACAACCGACTGTGCAGTATGTCTCAGAGACAAAATTTGAGATAATTTTGAAACTACCTGCTGTGAGTATGTAAGTATATGTGAACAAGTAGGATAAAGAGACAGCTGTGCTGTGGTACATGCCTATTTATTGAAGAAAAGTAACCCTATCCAAAAAGTTTGAGAATTAGGGAACCCCCAAAGCTGCTGTTTCCTACTGCGTGGACAACATCTGGTGAAGGGAGATGGCAGCTGCTGCCTACAGGTATCCCATCTCCTTTACAGCCATGCCAGGTGGTCAAAAAAGAGGTGCTGGGTTCTGTCATGGAAGGTCTGTGGCATATTTACACTAAAGCTGCCCGAAGAGGGAGACTGTGCTGGGGCTGTCCCCAGTACGCTATGGGTATAGGACCCCCCTCGACTTCGGGCTGCTCCCCAGAGAGACTAGTTCCCACCGACTAGCCGCTGGGACCGTGTATGGCCCCTCTGAGCCATGCAGGAGCCCATAAAGGCCCCACCAGCCGCCATCCCTTTGCAGGCTCAGGGCAGAAAGGAAGAGCAGCGTTGTTCAGAGTGCTGCGCAGGGAATCATTCAGAGTAATGAGATGGAGTTAAGAAAAGGGAAGCTGGCAGGATACCAGCGGCAGCTTCCTGACAAAGAGAGGTACTAAACATCACCTCTTCCTCCCAAGGGAAATTGTGGAAACTACTATTACACAGGGCATTTAAAAGCAGACTAGGCAAAGCATGAGAAAATGTACTGCAGGGAGCAGTCCTCCACTAGCAGGAGATGGATTCAAAACCCTAACATCTTTTTTTGCTTCTGACTTACACCTTTCCACTGGTTTATGACACTATTACTTCCCACTAATTTGTGTGTTCATCATATATATTATGAAAGCTGCTGCAGCGTTACCTACCTGTGTCCAGTTCAGGGATGCCTTTTTTAGCTCCTTTTCAGCAGTGTTCTAGCTATAACGAAGAGAGGTCACATGGACCACACGGCAACACGCTGCTGTTCTTCCAGCATTTGATTAAGCTCTTTCTTGGTAGTCATTTTCACCACGAAATGACTAGATTTAGTACTCAGCAGAGGTCTGCTATTTGATATTCTTTCAGTCTTTCCAAACCTTTTTCAGACATCTAAATAACCTTTATGTTAATCTAGGGCAGTTTCAGAGGTACACAAGTAGGAAGCCAGCTGTCACAAAGACTCCATTTCTGAAATCTAAGCAAGATGAGAAACGTTGTCATCTCTTACCTTGAACCAGCAATGGCTTAAAGCATTGCCACAGTGGTGTGCTTTACTCTTGGACGAAGATTATCCTCTTTTACAATAATTTGGCAGCCAGAGAAAGTTTTAATTGCCATCTGGAAGAGGTGTTCAGCTTTTTCTTCAGGGTTTCTTTGAATTTCATGCTAAGATACAAACACAGCCAGATAAATATCTACTGCATATGGTGATTACATGGAATACACAGCAGAAATCACTGTGCTGGTGCTGTGGTCATGAACCTTTATTTTACACCCTAAGTAAGCTCTCACTGTCAGGTGATATCAAACTAATTCACAAGTACTGAAGAATTCCCTTGTTGGCCTCTGGCAAGATACTCAGATACTATAGAAAGAGCACTTCTCTTGCTACAATGTCAAATAAGGCTGACAAAGATAATTAAAGCAGAGGGAATACTAAGCCACCTGGCAGTGAGCTGTGAAAAAAGGAGGAACTGCACGTAAGGAGAAAATTCTCAGATTTTAAAACTGCAAATCAGCCAACGGAAGAGTGGTCAGGAAAACAGGAGAGAGAAAGAGGGACAACGTCATCCCTAAAAGCACTCAGTGTGTGTTTGCAGTAATCTTCAGGTTTCTGAGTCCCAGCCTTTCCAAGCACACTTGGGGAAAAAAAAAAAGAAAAAAAAAAAAAAGAAAGACGCAAAAGAAAATCATGAAGGAATCCACGAGTAAAGCTCATGGAGTGAGCTGTAGTGTTGCTTGCACTTTTCTGATGACATCTACCCCAGGGAAATTCTATTCATTCTTTTTAAACCACTCATTTTTTTTACACTGCTAGATAAACACAAAGACCTTGTAGCTACTGAATTTAATTTTCATTTACTTGAAAACTTCTTTGCATCATACAAGTCCTATTTGTGTTCTTCCTCAGGCCTTTAGCCTGAGAGATTTTTGCAGTCCAAAGGAGCCTTTGCGTAAATAAGTTCAGGATAATTCATCAGAAATAGAAAACACCATAAAAGTGCCCTATTTAAAAACTTTGATAGCTGATCATTACAAATGAAATATACAAAACCAGACAGAAAGTACCATTTCATACATTCTGAATAATCCCCAAGCATCAATACCCAAACCCAATAAACAGCCATAGCTACCACCATGAAAAGGTACACCTTTGCATACATACAACAGATGGATGACGGTTAGTCGTGTCTGCCTGTCATATAACTTCTAAATTGTGATTCATATTTTGAAATTTGTATCATCAAGTACCTCAGCTTACCTGATGCTCTCAGCCCGATACCACAGGGCTGCAAAGCAAAGTTAATATCTGTTGTCACAGGTTCAGATAAAGCTCTTTGGGACAATGCTGATAACAACACAATTTAAAGTACATACTCTGTGCAGGGGACTCAGTAAATGGCAAGTGAAAAACTAGCCTAGAACAAAAATAAGAAAGCTTGTCTTTTAAGAAGATGCAAAGACCTACATAAATAGCTATTGGCAGAAGAAGGGAGGAATAAACATGTTTTTATAGGGAGGCCAA